TTTTTTCAACAATTGGTATCAGAGCCATGGTTATTTGTTCATGATTATGCTATGTACATAGATTTGTGATCTAAAAAATATCTCTTTTATGCTTGAATTGATATTTTAGAGAGATGGTACTCTAGAGTTTCTATATTATGTTGTTGTCATGAATATATGGTGAATGAATGATTAAATAATAATAATTGATTATTATTTAATTTTTACTGGTTATGGTTCCTTAGAGTTTAAAATGGTTGTATAGGAATTTGTTAATTACAATGTAATTAGATAAGTGGCCTATCATCGCCGTTAGGGCTTATTTTATTTTCTTTATTAGAAAATTTGTAAACCGGAAAACGGCACAGGAATTTTTATGTAAAAATTCTTGGAGGAGATTTATCAAGGATCTTGAAGATGGATATTGAAGATGAAGGATATGCAGGTATCTAATTTTCCTTGGTTTATAAAATTGTTTTGTGTTTTTTGAATAAATTGAAAAACTGCTTTGATTTCTGAAAATCTGGGTTATTGTCACACAGGCACCGGTCGACCTCACCGGTCGACCGGTTAGTGTAAGGCGGTCGACCGGTTGAGTATAATTGCTCTGTCACCGCTCGACCGGACCTAACGTGACAGTATACGATTTTGCAGTTTTTTGAGATTTTTTCAAGAAAACATGAAAAATAATTTTATGATAACCAGAATTTGATCGTGATGAAGAATTCAAGGACAACCGGGAAGATTCAAGATGAAGAATCGATATATGTTTCGATTATTCTTAGTAATCTTTATTTTTTCTTTTCTCTAGGATGGAACCATAATATTACGGTTATTATTATTATTATGCTTGTTGCCTAGCTTAATTGCTTTGTATGATTGCATATAATATGATTTGCTATATATGTGATAACATGACATGTAGAATAGGGAGTGCCGCTCATTAAAATTGTTCATGCATATTTCTTAACATAAAACCTTATTTTTCCAAAAGATTGAGTGGGTGAGGGTTTTTTGAAGAAAAGACCCATGGCCTCCATTGTTGGTCCGCAGGTAACAAATGGTGATACCGACCCCTAGGAAGGGATTCATTATCTACCGGTGTGGATCTCCGAGTGGATAATTTATTTGAGCATATTTTATGGTTGTACACCCCTAGGTGACAATTGTAAAATATGGATCAAATAGTTAAAATGATGGTTATACACTCAAGATTAATTTAATTACTAATCTCCCCTAGGAGCTCTGCTAATTAAATTAATGGCCAAAGAAAATGATTATCAATATATGCTGGACAGAGATTGATTTGGATGGTATATATTGTTCAGAGGGGATCCGTGTTCTAAATTAAATTTTGCATGATCTCCCCTAGAGACTTACAAAATTTTGAGTTTGGAATTATCGTTGTGAGGTTGTGATTTTTTCAAGGTTTTGACACACAAACATATTTGTTGCATTATAACATGTATATATGTTTGATTACTAAATGTTTATGCAAGTTTGCTTATACTAGATATATGAATGTTTATTGTAGATCAAAATGTCTTCTAGCGCATTATCGTCGATACTTAATAAACACAATTTAACT